CTTCACCCTTACCATTCGAACGGTGTGCGCTAGTGTACATCGACGACATCGACATGGTTCGCCCTAATATACGTACATATATTACCGTGTCACGAGGGTTGGTAATGTAGACATTGGAAAAAAGATTTCCACGGTTTTTACGTCACGACCAGCGTGACGGTATTTTCGATTCTGAATAATGTTGTTCTTGCCAAAAACATACACAAACTATCATTAGCCAAACACCAAAAGGTATTATTTCATAGTAAGTTCTACTTTGAACACATACAACACACAAAAGTGGGTTTTATCACTGACCAAGGGAGGAGCTAATGGAGGTTCAAGAATGAAGTTAGTTGTTTTTTAAATCTATATATAATTTTAAGTTACAGAAAATGTTTTTGAGTCCCTCAGAAGTAAGTAATTTTTATTACAATTGTGACAAATTTTAAATAGTTACATTATTGGTATCGATTTTAATCTGAAACCATTTTAAAAATATAGATAAACACATAAGATTAACAATATAAAATAGGTACCATATTTATCAACGACGATTGACGATATTTTATAATAATTATTAGGACTAGGATTTTTATGCAATAAAAAATTGTAAAATATACATTTAATTTACCAAAATATGCAAAAATATGCATTTAAATTTTTATAAGATAAACATAAAAATATAGTTATATAAAAAAAAAAAATATTTATTGAAATACATCAGTAGTTACTTGTTTGTCTTAATATAATATAATTGAGAAATAAAATAAAATAATTTAAATTAAATTTTATGTTTGATAAAAAAATCAAATTTTATACTTTAATCAGCAGGGCTAAAATTAAATACGAAATATACTATAAAAAATTTATTTTTCGCATTCTTATAATCGAAATATGCAATAATATGGATTTTATCCAAAATATGCAAAAACATGCAAAATAACACCACTATGTATGTCATCATGAAGTGATTCGTGGACATTACTGACAAAATCAATAATCAGAAGTCGCAAAAACAACATGCTGTTGCATACAAATCCTAGCCCTGATAATTATTAATATATCAATACATCATAATACTTGGCTTTTTAAAATTTTGCTTAGTCCCAAGGAGCCACCCCCTTAAATTCGCCCCTGACGACACACACACAACGGTATAAATAAACGTTGTAATACGGGTTCGTTATTCCGACGAACCAATGAACGGTATTATGTTTAGTTTGTACGTTTATACATTTAACGCGTAGTGAAACTACACGGGGAACAATAACGTGACGTATTATCAAAAAATTCTTTAATCCGAAATTATGCTGAATTCATACTTAAATGATTTAATGTGTGCCGAAAATTGTTTGGAAAATCTCGCCAAACATAAGTCTTACTGAGTCTTACTAAGTCTTACTGAGCGGAAATTTTATATTATGCACCATTTTATTGTAGATGCGTACGTAATAAGGCCATTAGGTAGGTACACCATCATATTATACCACTGTTCGTAATAATATAAATCTTTAAATAAGTACTCAAGGAAGAAATCTCTTAGACTTATTTTAGACTCAGAATGAAGCGAGGAGTTTTACAATGATTGATTTTTTTTTATTGTTCTGTTGGCCCTTTCCTGGAAATAAAAATGCACTCATTAAATAAAATTCAGACACTGAAGGAACATTAATCAAGTGATTTTACGATTTTTTCAGTCATTTTCCGAGTGACAAAAATGCAATAAAATTTCCTGGAGTAATTAATTTTAATATTAATTCATTCAAACGGATATTAAATGTAAATACATAGTTCAAAAGTTCAAACTCTGCGGCAGTGTAAAATGAATAAGTGAACTCTGGTATTTCTAAGAACAATGTAAACGTATAAATTCCAAACAAATTTAACCACTTGAAATTTAATACATTTTTATTGAATTGTAATGTTTTATTAATTTTTTTTATTGTTTTCTTTATATTTATTATTTATACAGAAAAATGAACACGATGCATTGCAACTGATTATCAAAGAACATTTTTTATTTGTCAATTTAAAATAAAACTTATAATATTATAGTGTCAAAGTTAATATAATTATATTTTCGGATTAGTTGATTTTTTTTATACCGAGAATCATCTGTAATACTCAATGCTCCGAAAGTTCGCCAAACAACACATCTTGATTCTCGATTACATATAAGTATTTAGCTTTTGATAATTAAGTAAATTAACATTAATTGTATTGCAAATTATAAGATGTGCTTACACTCGTAAAAATATTTTAGCATAATGTTAAATTCACTTATAATCATTGATTATCTACATTGTGCAGTGTTTTACCATACACAATATCATAGGATCATTTTATAATACTATAATATGTCATCGTTGTAAACTATGTTTTCAGATTTTTATTAACATAAACGTATCAATAGTTGTCGTACTTTTTAATGCTATGAGCATTTTCTAACAATTTTTTTAGTCAATTTATTTTTGAAAAGTTATAGTTATTAAAAATTGTTTATCTACACTACTTCTACCAAACTTGTTTGTTAATTACAGCAGCTAAGTGTCTACTCGATATTGTATCACGTTCCATGGCGGCGTGTAAACAAGAAAGGACATCATTTACTGGCATTCATGATTTTTAAATCTGTTGAGCCAACCGTGATTATAGGACTTTTATATGTTGAGTTATAAGTCATTTATTTCAATGGGATAATTTTACTATTACTTTTTATAAATAACTTTTAGTGTTCGAAATAACTATAGAATATAACGTTTTTCAAATTCTTCAAATTATTTTATGAATTTATATAATACTGAATCGACATTAAACTAAATTTGAGCATATTTAAGTATTTGATATAGGTAACAGTGAATATTTTTAGTACAAAATTTATCAAAGTGGTTCTCGATATTATTAATTTTGAGTTTGACCTGATTTTAGATATTAATTTTTAAAAATATCTGTAAATATGGTTTATAGAATAATCATAAAATTGCCATTCTATTAAAAATAAAAAATGTTTACGTATGTTTTATATTATTTATATATAAATTAATATTATCATTTATTATTAATTTTTAATTTTTAGTTATACCTAATTGTTACGTGCAATTTAATATTTATTATTGAAAATTAATAGTGTTGCATTTTTCATTTGTAAATAAACCAATTCTTATGAGTGAAATTAAGAACCATCTATTTAGATTTATATTATGATACATGTAATATTAGGTATATTATGAGACCCTTTTTGTAGGTTTACTGCCCAAGTGTATCAATGTAAAACAAAAACTAATAGGCAAGAAACTAATACCCTATTTTAACCATTGCTTCGTTTAAAATCTATAAAACTATTTATTTTAAAAAATCCAAAAATCATCAGAAGTATTTAATAAAATTAATAATTTATTAGGATAATTTTAACTATACTAATTTAAATCAATAACATAAAATGTTGACAGATTATGTATAAATACGTGGTATGATTGAAATTTATCAATAAATAACCAAACGTATAAGTTGTATCAATTTTATAATTGCTAAATTTACGTATTTATCAAATCATCGATATTTATTATAATGCTATTTGGGCTATTTAATATTAATAAAATCTTAAAGTAATTGTATGATTTACGTTTTCAGTTTAATAAGACTTTCTTTAGAATCCGCATGGTATTGAGACAGGTCTAATAATTAAATCCGTGAATTGAGTGAATTCTGAAATAAATTTTATATTACTGTTATAATTTCTATGGACGTAAACGATTTCTATTTTATTATTATTGTAACCGTATTTAAGTTATCACCCAAATAAAATAATCAAATATTAGAGGTATTTACTTTTAAGTATGTTATGTATATGTGCAGTGCCGGATTAAGGGCCGATGCAGCCCTGGAGCAAATAATGTTTGCCCCTCTCCCCCTCAAAGAAATAAAGTTTAAATGAAACCAAAAAAAATAAAAAATCCTGGTTTCTATGTATAAATTAAAAAAATAAAATACTATTATAAAATATAAGTACCTAATTTAATAATTAATCTACTTAAACTAAAAAGTATAAATAGGTTTATATGTTTAATATCACACAATATTTTTGCACAGAATTTTTTTAAACTAATGGTAAATACTGATAAAATAGATAATAATTAAAGTAATTTATAATATTAACACCAATTAAAAAAAAAAACTATAACCATATAACTATATTATATATTATTTTTTTTTTTACAATATTATTTATTTTTCTTTAATTATATTTTTTATAGATTTAATAGTTACAAGTTTTTATGTTAGTTCTTCTCAATTCATTTCCTCAATCAAATTAGATTCTATGCATAAAATTGATAAATTGGACATTTTTTCTTGTATTAATGACAATCTTAAATAATTTTTTTGAGGCTATTCTATTTATGCCACCCCACTAAATTTGCCACCCTGGAGCAAATGTTCTTTTTGCACCTAGGTTAATCTGGCACTGTATATGTGTCAATGTTTTTAAATTATTATTGTAGTTGTAATTAATGCATAGGCATATTCAGATTTTAGTGGCTAAGGAGGCAATTTTTAAATCATGAGACCTATTTTTTTAAATTCTTTTTTAGACATAAAAAAATATTTATATATCTATTTTTCATATTAAAAAACTGGCAATGACATGAACATTTTTTAATTAAGACTAAATAGTATATCCATAGACATGTCAAAACAATAAAAATACATTTATAACTTAAATAAAAATACATATATAATACTGCTGTATTGTACTCTACTGGTACAGTCGGTACTTAATACAGCCCACACATCTTTTTTTATCCAAGGGCATGATTTTGTTGAAGGCACAGCTCTCTAGGGGGGGAGTAGTGCTCTCCTGACCCTCCTGTAAACACGCCTATAAATTAATGTGTTGCTAATTTTAAAAAAAACACTATTATTTGTGCAGTACTACTTATATTATATTAATAGTTGTTAAAATGTAATTAATTTAAGCATCAAATTATAATAAACATCATATAATGTTGTAATATTTGTAACTAATTTGCATAATTTTTCGGATCAATGATGTACTCCATTTGAACCTGTAATTATACGTGCATTACATTAGAATGTATTTTAAACGCGCATTTACGTACTTAATTCTAAATTAAATGCTTATAAATATGTACAGGCAGGGACAGCGTGAGGGCGTGGGTAATAGAGGCAGTTTTCCAGGGCCCCACGCCTTAAATTATAATTAAGGTCCCGTGGTTCTGATTTAACTGAACTTAAAATATTTTATTAATATAAATTATAAAACCAAACATTTATTTTGCCCAGAGCCTCGCAAACTCTAGCACCGTCACTGTGTACAGATACATAATACAATGAGTGTATTGTATATTTTAAGTAGCCTAAAGACGTCCAATAATATTAACCTATCACATGACTGTAACATATAACTCAGTTAATCAAATATAATATAATCAAATTAATTAATAAATAATTATTTAATTATAATTATTATAATTTTATTATAATTATTAATTAATATTTAATTACATAAATATAATCAAATGGCGCAAAAATTCCATTGACATAAATCAAGCATACAAATACAATACGCATGCATCGGATGTATGAATAACTTATAATCGAGAACTGATGAATATTGAGAAATAAGATGATACAGAAATTTGAAATAATTAATGAAACAATATGTGAGTTGGTCGTGCCACTCTTACTCTGATCAACTGGTTAGCTTTTTTCAGATCATCTAAATCTTTATCGTGACGCATTTCTTCTGCTTTTCTCGCTTCGTCCATTTCGTTTTTGAGTTGATTCGTCTTCTCAATCGTTTCCGCCAACTTTGCCTTTAATTTTTTATTTTTAGATATCAAATTTTCTCTTATATTCTTCAGTTTGATCTTTTTCTCTTCGTTCTAAGAAAAACGATGAGGTTTACAACTATCATGAATATTTGTCTGTGATGAGTGCGTTCAAAAGTTGTTCAACCTTAAATTTGATTGTAGGTATTGGTGGTATGTTTACGTCACTTATTATCAGTATTCAGTATTATAACATTATCTGAACATTTTATCATCCATGACTATGCTTTAAGTTATTATATGTTAAAGGAGTGTACGTAATACGAATTAAAATAAATAAAAAATATTTATAAATAAAATAAAATAATATATTCATTTAACTTAAGTATTTGTTTTTTATTTATTATTATAGCCTTATTCCTAGGACAATACAGCTCGAAAATTATAAATTATGAATTAATGGATTAAAAAAAAAATGAAGAAACATGTGATTTCGATGAAGTTAATGATCAAAGTGATTTCTTGAGTAAAACGAAAACTAAGCAGAAGTATATTATGTAATTAAATGCTTAGTTTATATATATATATATATATATATATATATATATAGTCCAAAAATATCTGTACTGGATGGAGACTTGAAAATTATCTTAGGACAAACATTTTTTCATTTTTATTATTATTAAAAAGTGTATTTATCAACTGTATGTACATATAGCACAATTAATTGTTTTATCTAATAATTTGACACAGGAAAGAGGAAAAATCTCAATAACAAAATTTATAAAAAAAAAGTATATCTTATAGAAAAGGAAGATTCTTATTTATGTTCCTCTTTAAGCATTTGAATAAGTGACTTTTAATATGCTATTCATATCAATTGTCAACCTAATAATATACAGGTATGCTTATAATAAAATGCTACTACTATACTAGATCTATCATGTAGATATTGCCCTATTAATTACTATCAACGATTTTCGGATCCCATATGCTGTTACGCTCTCAAACAGCTTTTGATATCTGTTTAAATTTTCTATGATCTCATCACGAACGCGGATCAACATGCTGCCTCGGTTTGGACACTTCACAGTCACTTGTCTAATAATTTCGTCTGCATACATAAGACCATGAATAATATTAAACTCAATTAACATATAATTTTGAAATAATTAATAAATATCTAATAAATGTAATATCGAATCAAAAAAGTGAGTCAAACTGTATATCCAATGAACTTTGGTCAGGCACCTCAGGACTTAAAAGAATATTGAATAATATGGCTAATTCTAGAGGGTTCGATATAAACTTGATTAAACGTCTCAAGTTCATTGTTATATTATTTATTTTTTGTTGTAAAATGTATCATATATTTTCAAGTATAGTTTTACACTCTACAAAATTCTGTTTCATTTTAGGATATAAATCAAAAACTTTCTTTTTTGACATTTATTACTCATAAATATAAATTAATAAATAAGAATATGAAATAATATATAAATACATTAATAATATTTTCAAACTTACTGAAACATTGGAAGTATAACTCCTCTTTAATCAAACAAATTCCTACTTCTCTGGCATTGAATTGATTCAAATACATGTCTAATTTTATTTTAAGATCTTTTATATCCGATTTAGAGCCTGGCTGATTGGATAGCTTTTGACAATATAATTTACCATCTTTTTCCCATTTCTTTTCCGGCAGTATTCGATCCAAAACATCATTGCATTTTAGGCATTGGTTAATATTCACATCATCTTTAGAAGTTAATGTGAAAACATTTGCTTTTGTATATTTACCCTGATAAATGATTTAATATTTATGGCCAAAACTGAATTTCTAGCTTTCATTTATAGCATTTATTTAAAAAAACATGCTTATAGTGAATATATAACAGACCAACACAATGTGTCAAGAAAATTATGTATTATATACATCAAGTATCGACTATCAATTTAAAAATTCTATTATAGCCATAATTTTCAACCGGGTAGAGAGAATTTCTACTCAAGGGGTAATTTATGTAGGTACTACATGCAAAACATAAAGTGATGATGAAATAAAAAAGATTTTTTTTTTATTAAAATAACTATACCAATTTAAAATACGTAAAATTAAAAACAATAAGTTTAATGTAAAAAATATTGATAGATGTGGAGAAGAGAACCATTATAATTGTTGGAACTTAGTTGGATTCTAACGGAGAGATATATTTAATAAAAAGTCTTTATTATAATTTTAACTTATGATGATCAGCTCTTATCTAAAAGTGACAAAAAATGTCTCCGTACATTAATTCCATTTATATCAACATAATATATTACATAATATTATCTTAGTAAATCGAGCTTTGGCAAATAAAAAACAAACAAGGATACGTTACGCAATATCAAAAATATTTTCATCAATTATGAACTTAAAGAGAAAAAACAATATCAAGCTTTTCATTAAAATTCTTGTTTTTCAATTTCCAAAATTTTATTTATATTAAATTTTTTGTGTTTATGTTCTAAAATTTTTCGTCTAAGTCAATTTATTTTTAAGATGATGAAAACAGCTTTTATAAATTATTATCGACAAAAAATTAAATAATAGTTATTTGCATAATTTATTTACAACATTTACAAAGAAAGGAATCATTTTTAATTTATAATTTATCGAAATAGGGAGTTTTGAGATTTCATAAAATCTATAAGGAGGGCATAGAATAAAAAAAGTGAAGAACTACTGTATTATAGTATCATATTATATCTGTTTTTATTTCTTTGATTTAACATAAGACCTAGATTAAGACTATGTACTATCTATAAATGCCGAAAATTTATATAAATTTATTTAAAACATACTAAACTATTTATTCCATGGGCCATGAGTATATCATTATGTAGAAATTAAATAAAAATCGAAACCGTATAAAAATAGATAAAAATATATAATTACATTTTTTTTTAGCTAGTTTAATTCATTCAGCTTAAAACCATTTTATTTAAGTAATGTATTTAAAAATGACTGCTTAAAAAATTTTTTCTATTAATTTTCTATGAATTAGTTATAATTTAGTTCCATATACATTATAGAGTATCTAGTTGATAAGTGTTAATTTAATTGACAAAATTAGATATAAAAATGCATAAATATATCGAAAACTATTAGAAAAATTATTATTATTATATTGTAAATATAAATACATATTATGTAATAAATACATCGTATGTATTGTAAATAAATAATATCTATAGGTATCAATATCGTTTTATCTACATACGTTTTATGTACAATGAATAATTATCATTAATATTTTGATTATATTGTAGTATTTGAGATATGTATCTGCAGTATAGTCTTGATAATACAACACATATAGGAGGGAACCGTAGTATTGCCACATTACTAATAAAAAAACTAGAAACTTCAAAATGAATCAGTTAAAAACCATTATATTATTTATTTATTTATTAAATTAGACATACATATTGAATTTATGATTGCATCCCAAAACTGCACACTATTTTAAGGTTGAAAACCGCACGCTTCTGATTTTTACATGAAAATATAATTGGAAAAACCGTACACTTTTTTTTGATTTTAAAAACTATTGTAATAATCGTTAAAATTATAAAAATTATATAGATTGTATTTTTCTAAATAAAGAACTAAACAAATTAATATTTTAATATTATTGCTTGATACCGATGGCTAATATTCAGAGGCACCAGGTTTTAAAGTGTCATATAGGGCTGTCACTATTTTATAATCAAATGTACAGTTTTACATAAATCATACCATATTGTTCCTATTTTTATTTTTCTTGAATCACTAAAATATATTTCTTTGTCGTTTTGTATGTTGTAAAATTGTAATAATATTTATATCATGAAAAATTACCAAAACAGGAATTAAAAAAACAACAATTTATTTTTGAAAGGCATGTGTTTTGTATAGAAAATTAATTTTTCTGGATTTTTAAATTGTTAATGAATTGATCCACAATAATTTCCAAATTTATTTCTCTAACACGGCGAACACGAACAATGAAAATATCAATCAATTACATTTAACTCATTATGGACCTAATGTATGTCTTAATTCTGCCAAGAGCAGGAAATATCTTTCAGATGTACATGATGACACCTGGTATAACTATACATTATGCATAATATTTTGTTTGACTCCGGTAACATTTGACGAAGTACATCATGGTTTTTCATTAGCTTCAAGACATCATCAACATTTTTAATTGGTACCTTTCTTGATTTTTTCTATAACCAGAAATATATCCCTGTGTAAATGAAATTTATACTGTTTATACTTATTTATAATCTTGATAAAAATATTTTGGTTTATTAGTAAAAGTGCCATCGGCTAAATACTTTTCACAACAAATTGCATAAAAATAAAATAATTTCTTCTACGTGTTATAATAATAATTTCTTCTTCTTTGTATACGTGAATAAATTTTTAATTTTTAATGGTAAAAATATCACAATTACAATCAAAATGTAGTGCTTTATTCAAATTTTTCGGCGTTCGCGGTACATTAATTTCCTTATTAGATTCACGTCGTGACTTCATAACATTTTATCTGCTATAGATGATATTTCTTTACGTATTATTTTTCGCGGTCTCTCATGAACATCATCACTTGCTTTACATTTTCATTCATTCCGTACTTAAAGAATTTTTATTCTTATCGTTTCCAACTGCTCGTGTGCATGGATATTTCGGGTCTTGAGATTGTCTTAATTTCACTGCATTTTGTTACCGAAGACATAAAATTTTTCATGTAACACCACCAAACTACGTTTCCACTTGTATGTTATCTAAACTTTCTGTACCTATTTAAAATCTTTAACTCTTAAACCTTTATCCTCCTTATTGATATCAATACCTTAAAAATTCATTTTAAATAGCGTAAAAATTACGAAAAATTCAATAAGCAAATTGTTATGCATAATTATATATAAAAAATAAACGCAGACTCGAATCGTTATATACACTAACTAATCTGCAATAAATTCAATATCAAATCCAATATCGATGTTATTTATTATAACAAATAATGAATAGATATACATGTGTTCTCTATTTAATGAGCCCGGATAATAACAATTGTCAACGAAAAATGTGAAAGCATATTTATAGAAAAATAATGTGCGGAGAGACCTTGCAACATACCTAAGTATAATAAGCTCATCTCAAACTGTTCCGATACCAAATACGATACGATACAAAACGATACACACAAAAAATATAACCTTGGTAAAATCTTTGTAACATCACAGAATTTTATATTCTTTTTCTAATTTGAAAGACTCGTTACGTGCCCGTTTATAAATATATAATTAAATTTTATATGAAATGTACACCTTTCGTCACCGGAATTATCACCAGGCACAACGTACTGCACTTATTTAACTATCATAATTAAGATTATAATTGGCCAAAGTTCCATCATAATCGGAGGGCCTCGTAATGATTTTAGAAATATAAAGTATCACTCTATGTAATCGCTTTGCTGTAATGTACGAACAAAGGCAAATTAAAAAAAAAAAAAGTATCACTCTCCGTCTGACGAGCAAGCCGGAACGTCAACAGAGATTGTTTTATTATTACTAATATTGTTTTTAACTCAACATTGAATAGAGAAGTTTATTCCCTCGCGCGGCGTTATCGTTCGATTGGCAAACTATAATGATACATGTATAAAATGTATGTAAAATTATAATAATTATTATTATTATTTAATATATTGGCTGGTATATTGCATGACGATGTTAGTATGTTAACATGTTCTTCCGGAAACGGCAGACTTATTATATTTATGTCTTGTTTTGTGAGTTTTGTCTCATATATATTTTCGTTATTTTTTTTCTCTCAAATGGAGTTTTAGGCCCTTCCAATTTGTCTCCACAAATACAATAATTAATACCAACTATCTAATTATAATTGTTTTTTTTTTTTATTTATTATACTCAAAGTTTCTTACATTTAAAAAAAAATAATACATAAAATCCTATGTACTCCAGTTTCCGAATTTCGGTCATAGATTGACGACCGTAAACATTGGGTTCATCAATATGACATCTTCAAACAGTCGAGAAACGTCGCATTTTTCAGCAAAAATTACCAAATATTACTAATTAAAAAAAAAAATAAATAAATATGCGGTTTTTCTTTCGTGTTTTCGGGTAAAAATCAGAAGTGTGCTGTTATTAGTCCTAAAAAATTTGCGGTTCTTGCCTATGAACCTTTTTAGGATTAAAATCAATAGTGTGCGGTTTTTGGATTCAACGGAATTTATAAGTATTGACAACTAATAATGAAAAGGTTCAATTTACTCGAGTATGCATATTACCACCTATAAGTTTCTAATTTTTCATGAAATTCCAACAAACTCATCTTAAATAAAATAATCAAAAAATAAAATGATAGTGAGTTATAGTAAAAATATGCTGGATAACTGATGGTTTCCGACTGACGTAGTGCCGGATTGTCAAGACTATACTGTATATACTTTTAAATACGTGTTTCTTTTTCATTACAATTAACGAGAATAATTACGTATTCAGAGTTTTTCTATGGGTTATAAGTATAATTAAGTTTTTTTTTTAAGCTTTTATTTTTGAAATAAAAAAAGTTATATATACCAATTTCGTGCACTAGATGGTACACAAATATAATTTAACAAAATGTACATGCTCAGATAAAGTTAATCCCAATCATCTCCTAAATTTGAATAAAATCTTAATAAAACTAATAATTAATTCGTCACTAGACGAGCAATAGTTAAACGTAAATATTAATGTTTACTTTTTTAGTTGGCGTTTTATGTGTCACAAACTCTGGTTTCCCGAAACGTATCAAGTTTATGTCAGCCAGAAGTTTTAATACTTCTTTAACTGAGCCCATTTCCATTTACAAGCTGTATGTGAACTACAAAATTAAACTAAAAGATATTTACATACTAGACAATGAACTAATAACTAATACCATAGATACCTATTATCGATTATATGAATAATAAATAACTAGAAATGTTCATCTAATGACTATTATTTTTATTACTAACGTTTTAAAAACTACTAAGACTAATTATCCCTCGTGGATATTTTTAGTTACGGTAGATAGTTAATACGTTTCTTTTTTTCAGGGAATAACAGATATAAATTTGATATAGTTATTTCTTCTCTCGTCAAAACGTCAAATAAGCCTCCGGTGACCAGGTTCAAATTGAGCAGGGTGACTGTGCGATTAGATGTTGCTTGAACACGACGCGCAGACATAGATTTTATTATATTTTTAAAACTACAATAAAATTTTGATATTACTACGAATTAATTTAATTTCAGGCTTTTATTTTCGTTATTGTCACGTTATCTCTCAACTACATAAGAAGATATATATTGAAATAATTCGTGTAGTTTTCTATACGCATTCAGGGAAAATGATTAGTTTTTAAATTAAAACATTGCATTTCGGTTAGAGTACTTAACTAGAATATTTTAATACTCGCACAGTACAGCAAACATTTTGAAAAAAAAAATCTGCTTCAATTTCTGTGGAAATATTCAAAATGTGGTTACATAAGACGTAATTATTTTATATTTAATAGTTGTATATAAGATTAGAAAGGACGAAAAAATAATATTTTCATATTATTTATGTGAACAATTTATAATGTATATAACTGACTGGTATCACACACACAGACAAACAAAAAAACAAATATAACAAAAAAATATTTGTAAACTTTATAAAATAATAACAAAGAAAAGAGATTGTATTAGTAGATATATAAACCTTTTATCATTATCAAACTGTAATTTTCTAACCAAATACACTTACTCTTATTCAGGGCCGCATTTAGGGGGGGGGGGGAACACTGGCCACAACTGCCTCAGGTGCCAGTTTTTTGGGGGTGCCAACATTTTGTCGTCGGAAATTTACTCACTTGTGAATTATTGAACTTTTAAAATTATTTTGAAATAATTATTTTTTTTGTTTTTAATATCAGTATCATAAATTAATGTTAATGTATTTAATTTATTAATATATATTAATAATGTATTTATAGCAATATAGCTATCAGCGATCCAGAATATTATTAATATACCTAATATTAGTTCCCAAACTTGTTGTGATAATGTCAATAAACATAAGTTATTTATAATAATACAGCGTATTATGTTATTGCGTGCGGAGTGCGGTGGCGTGCCTACTACCAGAGGCGTCATTTGGGAGGGGCAGATTATGGCAAATGCCACACTGAGAAATTTTAAAAAGATGGCAATTCTTTATCCGAAGATCAAATTTTAATTTCCTATTTTGTACTCAGAAATCAGATAATATTCTCTTTTAAATACACGTTCACGATTTATTAAATTTTAAAACACTGGCTCCTCTCCAGTTTATGACAATCGTTATTACGTTATGATATATTTTTATATATGTGATCTTTATAAAACAGTTTTCGTGATATCGATACCATAAGAATTGAGCTCATAATTTATAAAAAAAAAACCGTTAAAATTGTTCCTATTCACTCCAAACCACGGTACATTATATTTGAGATACAATTTTATGTTTTTATAAATAAGTTCTATAAAGTATTAAATATACAAATAATAAAATTGTAAGTATTTATTTAATTAAATTTATATTATTATTCCATTAAACCTATTGATAGGTAATTTATAGACTGTAGGATAGGTAAATAAATTATAGTTTCACTATCTTTAATGTTATTATTTAATTGGGCAAATTGAAACATTTCATATTCTTTATTTATCATCATTATTCATTACTAATCCTTATATGTTTCGTTTCGAAAAAATATTTTATTGATAGTGTCCATTAACATTAAATATTTAAATATATAGGTAACCATAATTTTTTAAATATTATGAAGTCGGCAAATTTAATCAGTGACCCCATCTTTTCATAAATTGAAATAACACCTCTGCCTACTACAAAAAATTGCATTGATTTTAGAATATCTAAATGGTTCATGAAAATCTATCTCCTATATTTTCCGTGAGTAGGCTCCTTAGAAAGGCGCAAAATGTCGAAATACGGCACAGCTCTTATTGGGTGATTTTAATTTGACTAAATTGAGATGGCGACCGATTGCTAATGAACTTGTCCCAGATTTTTCTCCCCTATTGAATCTTTATTTTCTTTCTATCATACTTAAATTTACGTCAATTCAATTTGGTAACTAATCAAAACCATGTTATATTAGATTATTTTATTTCTAACATTATAGTATAGTTGTCTCTAGAGAACCCAGTCCAATCTCAAAAGTTGATTCTCACTATCCACCGCTTATTACTTACTGTCCGAATTTTCTCACGTGATCTCTTTTCTGAAGTATCTTATAATATTCTCTGTTGTTTATTTCATTATTTATAACAAATAATTTAGTCTCAATTACTGGACCTCCCTATCAGGTGCTTATTTATGGAGGAGGGCGGGGAGGTGCGAAACGAAAAACACCATTTTTAAAAATTGGTTTTTTGGCATGGATATGTCATGAGGCTGGGTGTTATTCCAAAAATTTATCGCGACACTGAGAATGTTTCTTATGCGATAATTTAAAATTGAATTTTTATCAAATATGTTTATTCTTAAAAGAAAATATGTGGTTAATTTTGAGTGACTTTTTAATAAAAAAATTATTTATTACAATGTAGTTTTTATATTTTTTTAAAATTATAAATTATAAAAAAATTGAGTTTCTTATTTCTTTGATGGTATAAAGATAGTCGAGAAGTCTATAGTGTTCAAGTAATTTTTGTCGTAATAGTGTGCTTCCTCCTTCCCTTCTCCCTAAAAATCAAATACATGATCGGCTCTCTCCGAAATGAAAACCTATATACGTCACTGCTCCCTATTTAAAAATTATTATGATATTAACCAAATCGTTACTAATTTTTACGACAACCTATATGATGCAATTTATAAATGTATACCTATTATTATCTCACATAAATCAACCTTTCCCAACTTGTTTTCCCCAACATTAAAAAAAAAAAAACTTCTGTCTGGAAAAACACTGGCTCATGAATAATTATATTTTTGTAACTTTGTAAATTTTTTCTTACTACCCCTTTTACTGTCTCTACCAATTTAATTTATCACTGACTTCTAGTATTTTTCTTGATTTATGGAAAATTAATTTTGTTTTCTTCATTCATATTTAAAGCTCTGATCCTTCTTATGTAATTAATAATTGTCCTATATCATTGCTTTCATTAATTCATAAATTATTCGAAGATATAGTTTCTAAACAAATTATTCCTCCTCGGAACATAAATATAGTAAATGAACAACATAGTTTTCGGAGTTCTAGATCAACAACTACTAATTTATTTGCTTTCACGCAGCTTATTAATGATACTTTGAGAAAGATTTCCAAGAAGATGTCATCTATACGGACTTTTCTAAAGCTTTTGTTACTATCAATCACGTTATCTTAAAAAATAAACTTAAATATTTTGGCATTTGTAACTTATTACTAGGGCTCGGGACTTATAGAGCTTAAAATCATTAAAATTAGCGCTTAAAAACATCAACATCATTATAAGCACTAAAATAAGCATTTAAAAAATTTTAAATTAAGCAAAAATATTTATTAAAAAAAAAAACTATAAAATTCTAACTAAAAAATCAAACAAAATAAAAATAAATCTTCACTTTAAGAATTGTTATAGATTTTCTAAGAGATTTGTTTGAAAAATAAAATGTAAACTGTTCTTTCTGTTCTTGATCATTCTGATGTTTAACAATCAGTTCTATTTTCAGGGCTGGATTATTTTTGTTAACCCTACAACGATACCTTGGACAACAACGAACTTAAGTGACATTGTAGATAAGATAAAAATTATTTTTAATTTTAATTCTACCAAAAACGACTTTGCAGGATAAAACTATAAAAACGTAAAAAAAAACTGGTCAAATAAGCAAAAATAATCAGAAAAACTGGAAGTAAGCATTTTTATTAAAAATTGCTGAAAAAAGCAATAAAAAGCACTTCAAAATTTCATAATTGTACGTGTTATAACTTAACATACATTTCTATAGCACTCTACTACATTTTAAGTCAATCCATAAAAATAAGCAAATGCTTTAACTCTCAAGCCCTGCTTATTACTATAATGGCGTTCTTCGTATTTTTTTGATCGTTCACAATTTGTGAAGTACAAAAATTATTTTTCTTATTTTTTTCAACAAACTTAGGGCATACCATAACCTTTTAGCGCCTCCTGTTTCTTATTTACTTCAATGATGTTTACTTCTCTCATAGAATGTGCTCTTATTTACTAACGATCTTAAAATACTCCGTATTGCTAAATCACTTAATGACGATGATCTTCTACAGTCTGATTTAAACGTGTTCATAAATTTGTGTGACCTAAATAACCTTCCTCTTAATGTAAACAAATGCAAATCAATGTCTTTCAATGGTTCCCATTCTACTTTACTTTACATACTCGAATATTACATCAATAATGAACCTTTAAAGCGAATTCGCAAAGTTAAACACCTTAGCGTTTATTTAAACAATAAATTGACTTTTGATATACATGCGAACTTTATAAAAAGCAAATCTTTAAAACAGCTCAGTTTTATCGAAATTTCTTGTGGAAACTTCAATGACGTAAATGATCATCATCTAATTTATATTTGTTTTGTCAGATCTACTTTTAATTATTGTTCTATTTGATGGTTTTCGTTCCCTCTAAAACATAAATTGTCATTGGAACCTGTACAAAATAGATATTCAAGTTTTCTTTGTTATCGTTGCAATATTATCCGTGTTTTCCACATTTCTTATACTCCTATTTTGGATATAATTTTTCTTAATTCCCAAGAATTACGTAAAATAAAATTTGATTTATACTTTTTGT